ATAGATAGATAGATAGATACACATAGACACAAACATACCCACACATCACCTGAACTTATTTTAGATTGGCTGATTGCTATTTGGTTAGTAGGTTGCTTAAGTGCTATGCCTCTGTCAAATTTTATTATAGTATTGTGCTGTTTCTGTAATTTTAGATATAAATCAATTTATGATTGCCTTTTGTGATGGAACAGCATGGAATTAGAGAGAGGGAGAGAGGAAAGCGCCATCTCTCTTCTCCAAAAGCAGCAGGCATCTGTAAAGCAAGCATTCCTTTTAGCTAATTGGTATGACGATAGGACTATCCTGTTCTTATTTACAAAACTACAGATTTATGTCAAGCAAAGCCAATTATGCTTAATGTTTAAACTATTGCAGGTGCTGAATGACTTTGTTGCTAGGCACTGGGAATGAAAAATGCTCTTTTAACACATCTCATTGCAATGGAGAGCATGTGCTTCATCACCAGCACAAAACTGAACAGATGGATAGCTTAATCCCTGTACTGAACTCCATCTCCCCCTTCCTTCCCCCTTCTTCCCTTGTCTACCTGAAACAATGTCCCACGTGTTTTGTCTTGCCTTGTAGCCCTGAAATTATTCACGTTTGAAAAACCCTAAAATGAAGTCACCTGGCTTACATCTACCTTGGGGTATGTTTAACTCATTCAGAACCTGCTTGATCGAGAGTGTTGTGTTATGTTGTAAAAGAATGTTGACTTTGCTGCTCTAGACCAGAGAGAGGAGCTAAGCAATCAACTCTAATCTAAAAATGGTCTAATCCAGGAGTGTCCAACTTTGGCAACTTTTAAGACTTGTGGACTTCACCAGCCAGCATACCTGATTAGGGAATTTTGGGAGTTGAAGTCAACAGGTTTTTTAAGTTGCCAAGGTTGGACACCCCTGGTTCAATCAATCTTATCCAGGGGGTGTGTTGAAAGAAAAGTCTTCATCCTGGTTCATCCAAGCCGGGGATAAATAAACAACATGGCGACTGCTTTAGAAAGAAGGTTGCAGTTTATTGAAGAGCCAGACCAAAAGATGGTTCTGGCAGGAAAGAGGAGAGAAAAGAAGGGCTGAGCACATGTGGGTAGTAGGTTTTTATGCCCTCTGAAGCCTTTTGTTTGGAATAGTTTTAGGCTTTGTATTTCCTGTGTCACGTATTCTGACCTGAGTCTGGGTGTGCCCTTTGGCCTTTGTGAGTTAATCCTACCATGTCCTGTCTCAGGTGAGGTATGCAGATTTTAAGTTTTTTGTCTTCTTGATCTCCTAGCTGGGGCCTTTCTGATGGTTTACATCTGCATTTGTACAGAGCTGGCTTCTGCTTGGGACAGAGAGACTTGGGGGCAGGGTTGGTTTCTGCTTTTAAAATCCTTTTGATGAAATATATTTTTCTGCCCTTTTAATATTTCCTTCTCTGGGGGGGGGCTGACTTCTCACAGGTGGGCAATTAATTTTCCAAAGGGGCCACATGAGAAACTGGGACTGTCATGGAGGGCTGCGGACACTCCCTCCCCTATTGATGCCCCACCCCCACTTACACTCCGCTCCCTGCCAAAGCCTCGCTGACACCACTGACACCCACCCCCACTGATGTCCTGTCCCACAACCTACACTGTCACGGGCTAAATAGGGAGTGTCAAAGGGCCAGATATGGTCTCTGGGCCGTAAAATGCCCAGGTCTGATCTTATCTAACCCAATCAATAGAAGGGAAGAACTGTTAGGGAGGCCCATTCTAGCAGTCTTGTGTTGAACGAACTGTGAGAATTGTCATGAAAGTTCCCAGAATGACTCCTGTCAAGTCCACAAACGAAACCAATCTCTTTTTCTGTGTATATTGTATTTCCACACAGCCACCATTTCTATCTCCTAATCCTTCCAAAGCAGTTTGAAGTTGCTCCTTGATTTACTTCTCTTCTGCCGTCTCTCAGCGCTGAGAATAAAAAGCGAAAATTCATGAGCTGCTGCAGATCCTAAACAAAACTTTCCTCCCGCTCACTCCTGCCAAGAGGGAAACAAAATAAAATTGCTTGCATGCCATCCAAGATCCTCTTTCATGTAGATCAGGGGTCTCCAACCGTGGCAACTTTAGGACTTGTGGATTTCAACTCCCAGAATTCCTCGGCCATCTGGCTGAGGGACTCTGGGAGTTGAAGTCCATAAGTCTTAAAAGTTGACAAGGTTGGAGACCCCCGATCTGGATGCTTTCACCCCCAAAGCTAATTGTTTCTAACTGAAGAGTTCCCATAAATGAGGCAGGAGCTGCTGGTATCTTTTAAAGAAAAGGAATTTTGCAAGGCTAGGCAGATATCGGTTGGCTGAGCTCTTCAGCACTGCCTAGGTTGAAATTCTGGTCCCAGTTGTGATCATCTGTCAAAGACTACCTGTATTCTTATCTATTAATTTTGACTCACCGTAACTAAAACTGTTTAAAGATTTTAATATAGTGGTAGTGGTAGATCCGTGGCGGCACAGTGGTTAGAATGCAGTACTGTAGGCTAACTCACTGCTCATTCTAAGACAGGGGTCTTCAAACTTGGCCCTTTTATGACTTATGGACTTCAACTCCCAGAATTCCTCAGCCAGGCATGCTGGCTGAGGAACTCTGGGAATTGAAGTCCACAAGTCATAAAAGAGTCCAGTTTGAAGACCCCTGCTCTAAGGTTTCGCATCTTGCTGAAATGGCAAAGATTTCGGCTTATTTGAAGGATCATTCAAATGAACAATTTTTATTAATATGGAGAAGATGGATTGTTTATATTCAAAATAAGCATAGAATGGTGGAATATAGGTTAGGTTTTTAGATAAAAAAAAATTTTTTTTTTCTATATATATATATATATTTCACCTATTTATGTAGAATTATACTTTGTGGAGTTAGGGATATTAATATAAGGTTACTTTTAGATGAATAGTATCCTGGGATTTGGTTTGGGAAGTCTGGGTGGGGGGTGGGGAGGGGTTTTTTCTCAATTGTGATGTAATTGTGATTGCTTTTTTTCTTATGTTGAAAATAATAAAAAAAAAATTTTGAATAAAAAAAAAAAAAAAGACCCCTGCTCTAAGAGTTAGATTCTGAGCGGCTCAAGGTTGACTCAGTCTTCCATCCTTTTGAGGTGGGCAAAATGAGGACCCAGATGGTTGGGGTACAATACGCTGACTGTGGAAACCGCTTAGAGAGGGCCGTAAAGCACCGTGAAGCGGTATATAAGTCTAAGTGCTGTTGCTCTTGCCACCTTGCCAACACTACCAAACCCATTATTATTAGAGAGCATTTGCAAAGTATATAGTTAAAAGGTGTAAGAAAGGGAAAGAGAAAAATGTAAGCAATCCAGTTCTCACACCTTCAATTTCATCAGAAGCAACTTTGTTTAAAGCTATCAGATCTTTAGTTACCCCCGGGGGAAAAAAAAACATACAGACAAATAAAGTGTACATGACAAGTATATTGTTGGTGGTAAAATTCATGCCCTCATCACAATTGCAAGGGATATAGAGTGTATATAGACCATGCCTAATAGCCCTTTCTCCTTCCTGCTGCTTTACTAGTACAAATACTTTCTCCTTGCATTATTGCTAAACTTGACATCGGCAAACAAAGAATGGTTAAGTGCTAAACTTGGAGTTTCAAGCTAAATTGATCCATACATTATTCCACACTTGTGGCTGCGCGCTGCTGCCAGCCATTGTTCATGGTCAATTTTCATGGTTTTTATCCAGCAGATGGCTGCCAGGTGAGTTAGGAACTACCGTATTGAAAATATGCAGGCGTTCAATCACTAGCAGCTGAATCAGTCAGCAGTATAAGATTATTTCATAGAGTTTGAACAGAGAACGTAGTAGCAGGCAGAGTTTAACGTCAGCCCAACTAGGCAAGATATTAACAATAAGGGTAGACCCCAAAGTTCAGCAGAAGCATAAAAGCTGTAGGTAGTAGCTGTATTAGAAACCTCAGGATCCCGACGATTTGCTCAGAGTGGCATCCATTCTGTGGATCATTAGAAAAGATCTTTCAAAGATTCTATGCATGAGCTGGACTTTGTTTTTGTAAATAACTCATGAGAATTTTAGTGTATTAGTTACTTATTCACTTGAACATTGGCTGGATGTGCATCTTTTTTGTTCGCCTTTGGATGGACTTAGATATTGATATATTTCAATCTGATGGAATATATACAGTACAAGGGGGCTATCTCTAAGGGAATAAGAGTCTTCTGCTTCTGCTCAAGGAATCCAGAAGTATTTATCTCCTCCCTTCATTAAGTGCTACATCTATCCCCCAAAAAGTAGTCTTTCAAAGGGAAAGATGTACAATGAGAGTTATAAGAAATTTTACGAGTTCATTCTAAAATGACTTTGGATCTAATAAAGTCTCATATAACTCCCACTATACAACTTTTCCTTTGGAGATAGGTATATCTCTACATCAGACATGGGGAACTATGGCCCCTTTATGACTTGTGGGACTTCAACTCCCAGAATTCCTGTGGCTGGCTCAGGAATTCTGGGAGCTGAAGTCCACAAGTCATACAAGGGCCATAGTTCCCCACCCCTGCTCTACATACAGGACTACCAAATATAGTCTGCAAAAATCTGGATGACCACTACATGGCAGCAAAGAGAAACAAGAAAACTCTTACTCTGTGATGCCAACATCTAGGGGTTTTTTGCAGACAAAATCTGGTAGCCGTACTACGTACAGGAGCATGACATTAGAAAAAAGTTAACGTGCCTTATTAAAAGGCTTTGTCACCCATGAAGCTCTCAGTGATAGGAAAAGGAATGAGATGTATGGATTTAGAATCGTCCAGGTGTTAAGCCCTGAACTTATAGAATTAATTTTCACAGAGAGAAGCAAACATGAAAAAGACAAACTACAATCCACTATTGCTAAGTCAATCCATAAACAAAGAAAGGAACACATCATTAAAATCTGACAGGCAATAGTCTGAAGACAGAGTAGACCAAGTTCTCAGCCAGTCATTTTCAAAGCGTTAAGTTCACAGGAGAGTCTCCATCTGGGATAAGGGAGAGGGACAAACCAGGATGCTATCATAAAATTTAAGTGATTTCTCATGCTGTAAAAGCTGCTCTTGGAGAAGGCTCCCTCTGAATCCTTCATCATAGTCTTCCCGCAGATTATTATATCTGCAAAGCAAAAATAAATTAAACCTCTTTTGCAGTACTATAAAACATACGGATATGCCTAGCCTCTTCAAAGTCTGATATAAGAAAAAATCAGAGAGAAAGGGAGAGTTGCTAAATCAAATCAAGGGTTCTTCCGGGCTGTCAGGAACATCTGGTCAGATTGTTCGTGTGGAAGGATAAAGTTGTCTATCAAAAGAAAGTTTTAAGAGTGGGAGGTGGAATCACCCATCAACCCAGCCTGGACAACTTTATAATTCTTCAAATTTTCTTTTGTGTAAGCGCCATTTCTGATAGAACTATCCTGGTTTGAGAAAGTTTCACTTCGAAAAATTAAGCATCGAGCTCCTCACCGTCAGATTCAGCAGTTTCTAAACCAGGGGTAGGCAACCTTGGCTCTTTTATGACTCGTGGACTTCAACTCCCAGAATTCCTGAGCCAGCATGGCTCAGCTTGGAAGCCTCTCCCTTTCCCCTCAGCATGGCTGACTCAGGAATTCTGGGAGTTGAAGTCCACGAGTCATAAAAGAGCCAAGGTTGACTACCCCTGGTTCTAAACCATGGAAGAACATTTTATAGTCAGAAACCTCTCCCAGACAAGAGACACAGACTGGTCACCCAGAATGAGATGAGTCTGTATATTGCTGAAGAAAATTTAGAGCACTTTGTATGAAATTCTTAATGTGTTTGCTCACCTGTGCAAGATCCTATCAGAAGAATGGATTATGTACAGGTAATCCTCAACTTACATTATCCCCAACCATTCATTTAGTGACCATTATAACAGCGCTGAAAAAAGTGACTCACAAAAGTGACTTCCACACTCACAACCATTGCAGCATCCCCATGGTCACATGATCAAAATTTGGATGCCTGGCAAACTGATACATATTTATAATAGCTGGAGGATCCTGGGGTCATATGACCCCCTTTCATGCTTTTCTGTCAAGCAAAGTCCACGGGGAAGCCAGATTCAATTTAACAATCGGTGTTATAACTTAACAACTGCAGTGATTTACTTAACAACTTTGGCAGGAGAGGTGGTGAAATGGGGCAAATCCCTTAACAACTGTCTCACTTTCCAAAATAAATGTTTAGGGTCAATTGTGGTGATAAGCCGAGGACTGCCTGTAATCTCAAGATCAGATTTACTAGCTGTTATCTGCCTGGGGACCATTTAAAGTAGCCCTAGGAGGATACTTCTTCAATTTACTGACAGACTTGTTTTACAAAAGATTAATATACCAAGAGCTGAATAGTTCAGGACTTACTTGTGTGAAGTGGTCCAGAAGCCTAAAGTGTTCACAATCATTAAGGAGGCCAAGAAGAAATAAAATCTCTCAAATTTACCCTCATTTAGAATGTTTGGAAACCACTCACCTAGAAGGATGGGGGGAAAATACAGATAGATGCTGAGTCAGAATCCAAAAAAGAAGAAATCTATTACCAAATTCTGCTTGCAATGGGCTCTTCTGGCCCAGTCCCACAATTGCAGAATTATTTTTCTGCTATGGATTATGGGTCAGTTTCGGTAAGATTACCTTCTTATTCTAAGATATAGTGGGCAGCTTTCATAGAGGCCCCACATTCATTTTTGACATTCTTAAAGCTCCTTAGGATAGCATTGTCAAATTCAACAGCAACATGGTAATTTTCAAGGGTCCATTTCCCTCCCTCTCCCTTAAAACAAACAAACAAACCTTAAACAGTAAAACAGATTTATGAAACCTCTGGGAATCTTAATGTACCTGTATCATGCCACAATTCAAGAACAAGGAATTGAGTTCTGCCACCTCTGGTGACATCCCATGTTGCCTATCTTAGCTTGAGTTTAGAAAATATCCATTAATGATCTGATTAAACATTTCGCAATACCATCGGTCCAGCCCTTGCCCCTCCTATCTTCTATCACCTGTCTTTCTCCACTTAAACACTTTAATTCTTCTTGACAAATCACTGCATCTTAACCCTCTAGTTCAGGGGTGTCAAACTCGCAACTGTCACATGACGTGTCACGACGTATCGTGACTTTTTTTCCATTGCCGGCAATGGGGTGGGCACGGTTTCACCAGGATGCATCCGGCCCGCAGGTTGGCAGGTTGACATCCCTGTTCTAGTTAGAGCAGGGGTGTCAAACTCAATTTCATTGAGGGCCACTTCAGCATTGTGGTTGCCCTCGGGGGGGGGGCTGTGTGGCCAGGGTGGGTGCGGCCTACTGGGTGGGTGTGGAGTGGGTGTGGCCTACTGGGTGGGCAGGGCCAGCTCTACATCGTTCGCATCAAGGGTGCCTGTGGGGGCCTGGGCAGGAATGGGACAGATCTGAGGGTTTCTGGCAGAAGAGGGTGGGACCGGGGCAAGCACCAAGGCATGGTCCATTTATTCATTCCTCACAAAGGGTGACACCTCCCCAGCATGCACCCAGAGGGCGGGGCCGACGTGGCAGGGGCTGGTTCCTCGCTGTTTCTAGACGGCCTTGTGGAGCTAAGACTGAATGCGTTTCAGCATTGATGGCCACCACAAAATGGTACATTGGCTCCCGGCCGGCCTGGGCCAGGGCCAAGGCAGCGGGGGCCGTTCCCTCACTGTTTCCAGGATGGCTTTGCGGGCCACATAAAACCACTTCGCAGGCCGCATCCGGCCCCCGGGCCTTGTGTTTGACATGTCTGAGTTAGAGGATCTGCAGAATAATCAGCTGAGACTCAACTTCCACAAGCGCTTCTCCCTTTCCTGCCTTTAAGTTCCAGAGAACTAAAGAAAGGTCCCTTATTGTGAGATGTTTCCTTCACTGCCATTCATGCTTTGGACTCAGACTCCTCTTATCCAAACATTGTCTAGTCTGCGGCTTTTCCTCCTGTCTCTCCAGGTTATTCTCACAGACCACTACATCAAGAGACTTGTTTGCTCTCTTCAAGAGCCGAAGAAGCTTCTTGGATGAGAAGCGAAACGTCTTCCAAGAAAAACAAAAAAGTCCAGTTGCCTCTTGAAAAAACACCTTTGGGACAGCCATGACGTGGAGGTCCGAGACTCTCCATACACATTTGCAGGAAGACACACCACCTCCTATTGCAGACATGTCAAACACAAGGCCCGGGGCCCGGATGCGGCCCACGAAGTGATTTCATGTGGACCGCAAAGCCATCCTGGAAACAGTGAGAGAACAGCCACTGCTGCCTTGGCCCTGGCCCAGGCCGGCCGGGAGCCAATGTACCATTTTGTGGTGGCCATCTGTGCTGAAACGCATTCGGTCTTAGCTCCACAAGGCCGTCTAGAAACAGCGAGAAACCAGCCCCTGCCGTGTCGGCCCCACCCCCTGGGTGCATGCTGGGGAGGTGTCACGCTTTGTGAGGAATGAAGAAATGCACCATGCCTTGGCACTTTCCCCGATCCCACCCCCTTCTGCCAGAGACCCTCAGATCTGTCCCACTCCTGCCCAGACCCCCACAGGCACCCTTGACGCGAACGATGTAGAGCTGGCCATGCCCACCCAGTAGGCCGCACCCACCCTGGCCACACCCACCCGGCCCCAGAGGGCAACCGCAATGCTGATGCGGCCCTCAACTCTCTTCCACTGTTGACTGTGCAATTCAGATTTTCCTACCCCCTCGATTTTTCTCCATAATGGCAGACACCACACTGCAGATAGTCCTCAACTTGCCACCATTTGTTTAGTGACCATTTGAAGTTACAAAAGCACTGAAAAGGGGACTTAGGACTGGTCCTCGCATTAACAACTGTAGCAGCAGCATCCCCAGAGACACAGGATCCAAATTCAACCGGCATGTATTTACGATGGTTTGCAGCATCCTGGGATGTGATCCCAGTCGGCTTCTGACAAGCAAAGTCAATGGGAGAATCCCGATTTGCTTAAAGATGGGACGATTTACTTAACCACTGCAGAAATTCACTTGACCAACCAAAAAAAAAAAAAGGTTGTAAAATGGGGCCCAACTCACTTAACAACTCTCTTGTTTAGCAATGGGAATTTTGGGCCTGGTTGTGATCATAAATCAAGGACTACCAATATATGAGGATGATGGATGGAATCAAAGCCAAATGAAATCAGAGACCATGTTTTTGGAGGGGAGGGAGTTTCACATACAAGTAACCCTTGACTTACGACCACAATTGAGCCCAAAATTTCTATTGTTAAGCGGGACGGTTGTGAAATAGTTTTGTCCCATTTTACCACCTTCCTTGCCACAGTTGTTAAGTCAGGGGTCTTCAGACTTGGCCCTTTTATGACTTGTGGACTTCAACTCCCAGAATTCCTCAACCAGGCATGCTCTATGTGTATGTGTGTGTGTGTCTGTGTGGTGGGTGACTGTCAGAATTTGAAATCTGGGTCATAAGTAACCCCCCCTAGATAAATCCATTGGAATTTTGAACGGTCACTAAACGATCGGTCATAAGCTGAGGTCGCCCTATACTTAAGAGAAATTAATACTCACCATGAATATATGAGAAAAAAAAATATGTGAATGAAATCAAAATACCTCTTATTGCTTCATGATTGAAAACATTTTAAACCAAGGGTCTTCAAACTTGGCCCTTTTATGACTTGTGGACTTCAACTCCCAGAGTTCTTCAACCAGGCACGCTGGCTGAAGAATTCTGGGAGTTGAAGTCCACAAGTCATAAAAGGGCCAAGTTTGAAGACCCCTGTGTTAAGTGAATCACTGCAGTTGTTAAGCTAGTAACAATATGGCTTCCTCCGTGGCTTCATTTATCAGAAGGTCGCAAAAGGTGATCACATGACCCCGGGATACTGCAACGGTCATCAAGATGAACCAGTTGCCATGCCTCTGAATTTTGATCATGTGACTACGGGGATACTGCAATGGTTGTAAGTATGAAACGTGATTGTAAAGTGGTGTTGTGACTCTGAATGGTCACTAAACAAGTGGTTGTAAGTCAAGAACTTCCTGTACATTCCTAGCACTATTGAGTCCCTTGCCCACACCTCTGTTGCAGATGTAGCTCCAGCAGCATCAATCCTGTCACCATTTATCCATCTGAATCCTAGAGGCATTATATAAGTACAGCTCTCGAGCAAGTGACTCTCTTTTTAGTCCTCTGCTCTACTTTCCATAGATTGTTAGATTTATAGTCTTAAGTTTCCCCTTTAGCTGAAGACTGCCTAGAATAGAATCTTTCTTTCTTACTTCTTTCCTATAAGTCTGAAATCCTCAACAATGCAATCCTTCTTACTGAAGCATCTAAACTTTGTCTTCCTTTTTGGAAGATGCCTAAGCATCTGTCTTCGCATTGTTAATTTAAGATTAGCTAATATTAATTATTTTGTTAATATTAAAATTAATAATGTAACATTATTAATGGCATTAAAATTTAATATTAACGTTAATTGTTTAATATTAACTTAATATTAACTCATGTACTCTAACAGCACTCTAACTTATCATATGTGCTTTGCAAAACAGGCAGAGAATGAACTAAACTGAAGAAGCTTCTGGGATGAGAAGTGAAACGTCTTCAAGGAAAAAAACAAAGAAAGCCCGGTCGCCTTTTAAAAAAGCACCTTTGGGACAAATGCAACCTGGATGACTGGGAATACACATCCCGCATCTCAACAATTACCATTATCACGATATACTGGAAAAAAGCTGTGGGCCAGGATTTTATGGTGAACTAGTAACATTCCGCTACCATATGAATTAGATGGAATAATAATAATAATAATACCCCATTGCAAAATCTAAGTTCTTGGGAAGAAGTCAATGTGTATAAAGGCCAACCACCAGCTAAGGAACCAGAAGCTGTGATTTCACATTATGTATATAATAATGAATTGGTTCAGACCAATTTCCTTCACTCTTAGCAACCAACTCAAATCACAGTATTTGAGTTTATACCACAACTTTGGATAAAGTTACTTCCATAACTCTCTGTGCGTGAGTGTGTGTGTGTGTGTGTGTGTGATAGAGAGAGAGTGTGTGTGTTTATGTGTGAGTGAAACAAGGGGGAGGGTTGATGGGAATAGGATTTATCCTACATCTCATTAAAATGTCAAGGGATGCACAAGAGCCTTAAGAAACCAGCCTCCTCAGTGTGTACTGAAAATACCACTGTCACTTGTCATCTGTTTGCACTCATCAAACTTCTGAAGAAGTCTTATTTTATCATATTCACACTATCTTTCAGAGATGTGATTTTTTTTTAAAAAAGTGATGAGCACCACTTAAGCCTCTAAGTGAATATCTTATCCACTTTGCTAGTAGAACACGACTCTGGAAGAACGAGATGCATTGGATGCAAACAGTCATTAAGCCAGTGTTTCTCAATCTTAGCCACTTGAAGATATCTGAACTTCAACTCCCAGAATCCCATGCTAGCTAGGGAATTCTGGGAGTTAAAGTCCACAC